GTTTCGTGATTAGACTCGTGATTCGGCGACCGTCCGGTACCCGTCCGCCCATCACCGCGCACATAAAGCCAGTCTCCCACGCCATTCACGCTCAGTGTGCCATTGTTTACCAACACATGACCATCACCCTGTGGGTTCATACGTAATAATCCATTGTTTTTTGTGATTCCAACTGATAAATAAGTCACCATGGGCCCAAGTAAAGCTAGTGCAAGCCTTTGGTAAAGAAAGCGAAGAACATGATCCAGAGGGATTTTGAAGGGTTTGAGGCAGACCCTGACCCTGGCGACCCTCTGCCTGTTGTGGAAGGTGTTGTGGCATTGGGCAAGTCCATGGGGTTGGAGGTGAGTGACGGGGATGTGGAAGAGTTGGTGGAGGACCACAGGGAAGAGCTAACCAGTGACGAACTGCAAGAGCTTCAACTGGAACAGCATCAGACCACAGCTGAGGAACTTGCTTCAGAGGTGGAGGAAAAGAGAGTGAAGAAGGTGCCTTCTTCAGTGATTAAGGACAAGTGTTCGAAGTGGAACGAGTTGAAAAGTTTTGTTGAAAAGTATCACCCTGACCAAGCTGAAACTAGCCATATCTGCTACATGTTCAATGACAACCTTGTCCCACTTAAGGCAAATCAAAGAAATGCCAAAAACAAACCTCTCTAGACTGATATTTTGTGTGGCAGAGGTCCAGTGACTCTCAAGTTGTTCCCAGTGGCATTAAAAGAAGAAGGGAAGTAACCCCAGAAAAGGACTTGCTCCCTGAAGTCCAAATTTGGAAGGAGTTTCCCCTCCTTTAAAAAAATAGTGTACCCCTTTCCTTTCCTATCCCCCCCCCAAATTTTCCCAAATCCCCCAAAGTCTTCATTAAAGGTAAGTGTAATTTTTATTTTTTTAATATGCATGTACTTATTTCTGATTGTTTTCAGTATTTTAAACCCCCCTTTTTTAATTCAAAAGAATTTTTTTAATTTTAAATTTTTTTGGGTTTGTCGGAACGGTTAATTTTTTCCCATTATTTCCAGGGAAAAAAGGGTTTCGATTTCGTGAATTTCGACTTTGGGCAGGGGGGGCTCCCCTGGAACGGTTTAAATTTCACAAAAAGGGGGGGAGTTAAAACTGTTTTTGGTATTTATAAAAAATTTTTTTTAAAAAAATTATTGACCCATAAAAATTTAAAATTTTTTCAGATAAACACCCAGACTACTTCATAAATAGAATGCACTAAAAAACCAATATAAGATTTTTTTTTTTTTTTTTTTTTTTTTTTTTTTTTTTTTTTTTTTTTTTTTTCCAAAAAGTCGGCCGTCTCCCACCGAGGCAGGGTGCCCCAAAAAAAGAAAGAAAATCCCCAAAAAGAAAATACTTTCATCATCATTCAACATTTTCACCACACCCCGCACATTATCACTGTTTTTTGCAGAGGTGCTCAGAATTACAACAGTCTAAAAGCATACACATATGAAGATACACAACATATCCCTCCAAACTGCCAATATCCCAAAACCCCCCCTTTTAAAAGTGCAGGCATTGTACTTCCCTTTCCAGGATCAAGTCCGACTATATGAAAATAACCGGTTTCCCTGAATCCCTTCACTAAATATTACCCTGCTCACACTCCAACAGATCGTCAGGTCCCAAGTACCATTCGTCTCCATTCACTCCTTTTCTAACACGCCACGCACGCTTGCTGGAAGTCCAAGCCCCTTCCCCACAAAACCTCCTTTCCCCCCTCTCTCCAACCCTTTCGAGGACGACCCCTACCCCGCCTTCCTTCCCCTATAAAATTTATATGTTTTCCATGTCATTCTACTTTGATCCATTCTCTCTAAATGACCAAACCACCTCAACAACCCCTCTTCTGCCCTCTGACTAATACTTTTATTAACTCCACACCTTCTCCTAATTTCCACACTCCGTTTTTTCTGTAAAATATTTACACCAACACATTGCCCTTAAACAGGACATCTCCACTGCCTCCAACCGTCTCCTCGCTACTGCATTTACCACCCAAGCTTCACACCCATATAAGAGTGTTGGTACTACTATACTTTCATACATTCCCTTCTTTGCCTCCATAGATAACGTTTTTTGACTCCACATATACCTCAAAGCACCACTCACCTTTTTTCCCTCATCAATTCTATGATTAACCTCATCCTTCATAAATCCATCCGCCGACAGTCAACCCCCAAGTATCTGAAAACATTCACTTCTTCCATACTCCTCCTCCCCAATTTGAATCCAATTTTTTTTTATCTAAATCATTTGACACCCTCATCACCTTACTCTTTTCTATGTTCACTTTCAACTTTCTACCTTTACACACATTCCCCAAAATCATCACTAACCTTTGCAATTTTTCTTTAGAATCTCCCTAAGCACAGTATCATCAGCAAAAAGTAACTGTGTCAATTCCCATTTTTAATTTGATTTTCCCCAAAATTTTAAAACCCCCCCCTCTCCCGAACACCCCGCATTTACTTCCTTTACAACCCCATCTATAAATATATTAAACAACCCTGGTGACATTACACATCCTGTCTAAGACCTACTTTTACCGGGAAGTAGTCTCCCCCCTCTTCTACACACCCTAACCTGAGCCTCACTATCCTCATAAAAACTCTTTACAGCATTTAATAACTTACCACCTATTCCTTACTTGCAACATCTGCCACATTGCTCCTCTATCCACTCTATCATATGCCTTTTCTAAATCCATAAATGAAATAAAAACTTCCCTACCTTTATCTAAATACTGTTCACATATATGCTTCAATGTAAACACTTGATCTACACATCCCTACCCACTCTGAAACTCCTTGCTCATCCGCAATCCTACATTCTGTCTTACCTCTAATTCTTTCAATTATAACCCTACCATACACTTTTCCTGGTATACTCAATAAGCTTATTCCTCTATAATTTTTTACAGTCTCTTTTGTCCCCTTTCCCTTTATATAAAGGGACTTTACATGCTCCCCGCCATTCCCTGGGTTTCCCTTTCCCCCTCTTTCATACATTTATTAAACAAAAGTACCAACCACTCCAACACTATATCCCCCCCTGCTTTTAACATTTCTGTCATGATCCCATCAGTTCCACTGCTTTACCCCTTTCATTTTACGTAATGCCTCACGTACCTCCCCCACACTTACATTCTGCTCTTCTTCACTCCTAAAAGATGGTATACCTCCCTGACCAGTGCATGAAATTACGGGCCTGTTTCTTCCTTAACTTTTTAAAAGTTCCTCAAAATATTCTCGCCATCTACCCAATCCCTCCATCCCCCCATCTACTAACCCCCCTTTACTCTGTTTTTAACTGACAAATCCATTTTTTCCCCTAGGCTTTCTTAACTTGTTTAACTACCTCCAAAATTTTTTCTTATTTTCATTAAAATTTCTTGACAGTGCCTCTCCCACTCTATCATCTGCTTCCTTTTGCACTCTCTCACCACTCTTTTTACCTTTCTTTTACTCTCCCTTTTACTCTGCTCTTCTTATAACACTTCTGCTTTGTAAAAACCTCTCATAAGCTACCTTTTTCTCTTTTATCACACCCTTTACTTCATCATTCCACCAATCACTCCTCTTTCCTCCTGCGCCCACCCTCCTTAACCACAAACTTCTGCCCACATTCTAATACTGCATTTTTAAAACTATTCCAACCTCTTCAACCCCCACTACTCATCTTTGCACTAGCCCACCTTTCTGCCAAAAGTCGCTTATATCTCACCCCAACTTCCTCCTCCTTAGTTTATACACTTTCACCTCCTCTTACTTGTTGTTGCCACCTTCTCTTTTCCCATCTACCTCTTACTCTAACTGTAGTACAAAATAAATAAAGATCCGATTATATCAGTTGCCCTCTATAAACATGTACATCCTGGAGCCTACCCATCAAACCCTTTTTTCCACCAATACATAATCTAATAAACTACTTTCATTACGTGCTACATCATACCTTGTATATTTATTTTTTCCTCTTTTTCATAAATATGTATTCTTATTACCAAATTTCTTTCTAAAACTAGCTCAATTAAAGGCCCCCATTTACATTTACCCCTGGCACCCCAAATTTACCTTTCTACTCCCTCCTAACATTTTTACCCACTTTAGCATTGAAATCCCCAACCACCATTACTCTCACACTTGATTCAAAACTCCCCACGCATTCACTCAACATTTCCCAAAATCTCTCTCTCTCCTCTACACTTCTCTCTTCTCCAGGTGCATACACGCTTATTATAACCCACTTTTCACATCCAATCTTTATTTTACTCCACAAAATCCTTGAATTTATACATTTGTAGTCCCTCTTTTCCTGCCATAGCTTACCCTTTCAACATTATTGCTACTCCTTCTTTAGCTCTAACTCTATTTGAAACCCCTGACCTAATCCCATTTTTTTCCTCTCAACTGAAAACTCTCCCACCCCCTTCAGCTTTGTTTCACTTAAAGCCAGGACATCCAGCTTCTTCTCATTCATAAAATCCACAATCATCTCTTTCTTATCATCTGCACAACACCCACGCACATTCAGACTTCCCACTTTGAAAATTTTTCTTCTTCTTATTCTTTTTAGTAATCTTTACAGGAAAAAGGGGTTACAGCCCATTGTTCCCGCATTTTAGTTGACTTTTACAACACGCATGGCTTACGGAGGAAAGATTCTTATTCCACTTCCCCATGGATATAAAAGGAAAATTAATAAGACCAAGAACTATTAAGATAAAAATCAAAGAAAACTCAGATGAGTGTGTATAAATAAATGTGTACATGTATGTATAGTGTGACCTAAGTGTAAGTAGAAGTAGCAAGACATGCCTGTAATCTTGCATATTTATGAGACAGACAAAAGACACCAGCAATCCTACCATCATGTAAAACAATCATTTAAATGAGTGTTAACTCTCACTGTGTTGTACATAAAATTTTCTCCAACAAATCATTTTTTTTTAAATCTATACTGTCAGGAAATGTTAATGTTTGCTGGAGATTCGACCTTTACGTTCCATGTTGTACTGTTTGAGTTGATACGCAGGCAGGTACATGACTTGGCCAATGCGATCTTTTGTCTCCAACAGCGGATTCGGCAGTGTGTTATCTTGACTACCTAAAGAGGTGTACCTGAAAATAAGAGAGGCACATATTTTTATAGGTAGTAGACCGGTAGACAGAAATTATCTATGAAGGTACTATTTTTTTTTATTAACACACTGGCTATTTCCCACTGAGGCAGGGTGACCCGAAAAAGAAGAAACACTTTCATCATCATTCATTCCATCACTGTCTTGCTGACACTGCAGTTCAAGAACTGCTAAATGAGTGTGAAACAGAAACCTGTAATTACTTTTACACACTGGCAAGAGATCAATTTAAACAGTTATTTCTTACATAATAAAAGTAGTATGTTATTCCTATTCTGTATCTGTTCATTAACACTAATAAAACCGAACCCTTTTCCCTTTCAGGATGGGTCCCATTGTTCTACGGCTTTGAAGAATGGATTGGTCCCATAGTACTATGCCATGAGCCCAACTCGCTCAGATAAGCTGTGAGCGGTAAATTTGGGCCTAGATATTAGAGTATAGGTCTATGCAGCAAGTGTGCACCATATAAAAGAATTATTATTATTATTATTATAATCAAGGGGGAAGCGCTAAACCCGGAGGATTATACAGCGCCTGGGGGGGGGGGGATGTGGAAGGCATTCAGGCTTAATTCGGGGAACTGGAGCTCAGATCCAATTCCCTAAATCAAGAGCCCCTCACCAACATCAAGGAACCTTCCTTGAGGGGCATATAAAAGAAATCCTGGATCCAGGACACAGTACCTGGGGGGAAAAAAACTGCAACTGTGTTTTGGGTTTAAAACGGCAATTTCGAGGTTTTTCTGTATGGCTTTTATAGTCTCAGTTTCTTGGTCTCAATTGATAAAATGGAAGATATATACAGAAAAAGACATGATTTTAATTGGCTTCAGTACTGAAAGTAGCTTGAAATTGAGTTCAAAGTAGCAGAAATGTTCAATTTTTGCCAATATGCCAAAGCGCACAAATTACTATGTCACTCATCCAATACGTGTCCAACTGGTCAGTCTAAAATGCATTCACAAATGTGCTGACATTATATACACAATTATTACAATACTGTAGTATTCTGCATAACAGTAAATCTTCTATTTTATGTATGAATAAAAATTCAAAATGAAAAGCATGTGTAATATAGAAGAGGCCTGAGGATGTGACTAATGAACAGAGAAATTGTTTTAGTGCCAGGAATATCTACAGTGTTTATTCTGGACCCTATTTTGAAATTGGCAATTTTTGAATTTTGTGTGAAACTGGCCAAATTATTGATTTCTGATCACTTTAATGGGTAATTGAAATAAGTAAATGGGTAGTTTCTTGTACTCAATCGATAGAATAGAAGGAATACTAGCTAAATAGCTACGAGTTTAGGCGACTGGAACAATGAAATTCGCCAAAAATAGGGCTCAAATTGAGCAAAATCGTCAATGCATAAACATCGCCAAGACTGATACCTTTGCGAGAGCGTAATTCCATAAGTTTTCCATAAAATTTCATACTTTTGGTTTCATTACCTTTGGAAAAAGGTTCTCTGTCATTTCGTAAGAATTTTTTTTTTTTTTTTAAATTCTCCAATCCAGAGAGAAAGTTTCAGATCAAAGGTTCTGACCCTGAAATGGTTAATAAAATACATGTATCTTAATTGAAAACAATGTATTCACTTTCTTTAATGTTTTCTTTACAAGAGCAAAATATTTTTTTTTTTTTCCCAACAAGTCGGCCGTCTCCCACCGAGGCAGGGTGACCTAAAAAAGAAAGAAAATCCCCAAAAAGAAAATGCTTTCATCATTCAACACTTTCACCACACTCACACATTATCACTGTTTTTGCAGAGGTGCTCAGAATACAACAGTTTAGAAGCATACACATATAAAGATACACAACATATCCCTCCAAACTGCCAATATCCCAAACCCCTCCTTTAAAGTGCAGGCATTGTACTTCCCATTTCCAGGACTCGAGTCCGACTATATGAAAATAACCGGTTTCCCTGAATCCCTTCACTAAATATTACCCTGCTCACACTCCAACAGATCGTCAGGTCCCAAGTGCCATTCGTCTCCATTCACTCCTATCTAACACGCTCACGCATGCTTGCTGGAAGTCCAAGCCCCTCGCCCACAAAACCTCCTTTACCCCCTCTCTCCAACCCTTTCGAGGATGACCCATACCCCTCCTTCCTTCCCCTATAGATTTATATGCTTTCCATGTCATTCTACTTTGATCCATTCTCTCTAAATGACCAAACCACCTCAACAACCCCTCTTCTGCCCTCTAATACTTTTATTAACTCCACACCTTTTCCTAATTTCCACACTCCGAATTTTCTGCATAATATTTACACCACACATTGCCCTTAGACAGGACATCTCCACTGCCTCCAACCGTCTCCTCGCTGCTGCATTTACCACCAAAGCTTCACACCCATATAAGAGTGTTGGTACTACTAAATATATATACTGTATTGTCTTGTTAGAAGAAAAATAAACAAATATTTTCCATTCGGATTTTGAAGTTTTACTAATATTATCCTTCCTCTGTAAACCATCCAAGAGGCAACTAAAATGCTGAGAGCAGGGGGCTAGTAACCCCTTCTCCTGTATAAATTACTAAAACGTAAAAAAATCATTATGGTTCATCTTTTTTGGGTCACCCTGCCTCGGTGGGAGACAGCCGGGGTGTTTAAAAAAAATTAACTAATAACCGATAAAATTCTCATTAAAAAAAATTTTCTGCAATTATTATTATTACTGTATTTATGAGCAAGTACAAAACCTGTGTCATACAGTGCCCAGAAAATGGAAGGTGATCAGGTTTGTTTTGAGGAAGAGGAGGAGAGCATCAAGACACCTTCCCCTGAAGTGCCTATTGTTGTGAAAACCAACTTACCCTCTATCATAAAGTGAACAGTAGGGCAGATAAAGACCTCGAATAAAATCCCAAACATTGTTGTATTTCCAGTTGAGGATAGCATTAACACGCATCATGGGGGGCCAGTCTTTATCAGTAGCTGAGAAGAACTCCAGAGTATCTGAAAAGATCAAAAAGAATTACTACAGTAACAGAAATTTTTCCACTTGTAAATACTAAACAAATATTTACCAAACAACTTGAGCATTCTAATACAGTAAGTCCTCAACTTACAGACACATTGAGAATCTTCTGTATTGTGTATCATTATGTATAATATCATAATGATATCAGGGAGAGAGTATGGAGGAGGTGAACGTATTCAGATATTTGGGAGTGGACGTGTCAGCGGATGGGTCTATGAAAGATGAGGTGAATCATAGAATTGATGAGGGAAAAAGAGTGAGTGGTGCACTTAGGAGTCTGTGGAGACAAAGAACTTTGTCCTTGGAGGCAAAGAGGGGAATGTATGAGAGTATAGTTTTACCAACGCTCTTATATGGGTGTGAAGCGTGGGTGATGAATGTTGCAGCGAGGAGAAGGCTGGAGGCAGTGGAGATGTCATGTCTGAGGGCAATGTGTGGTGTGAATATAATGCAGAGAATTCGTAGTTTGGAAGTTAGGAGGAGGTGCGGGATTACCAAAACTGTTGTCCAGAGGGCTGAGGAAGGGTTGTTGAGGTGGTTCGGACATGTAGAGAAAATGGAGCAAAAACAGAATGACTTCAAGAGTGTATCAGTCTGTAGTGGAAGGAAGGCGGGGTAGGGGTCGGCCTAGGAAGGGTTGGAGGGAGGGGGTAAAGGAGGTTTTGTGTGCGAGGGGCTTGGACTTCCAGCAGGCATGCGTGAGCGTGTTTGATAGGAGTGAAGGGGAGACAAATGGTTTTTAATACTTGACGTGCTGTTGGAGTGTGAGCAAAGTAACATTTATGAAGGGATTCAGGGAAACCGGCAGGCCGGACTTGAGTCCTGGAGATGGGAAGTACAGTGCCTGCACTCTGAAGGAGGGGTGTTAATGTTGCAGTTTAAAAACTGTAGTGTAAAGCACCCTTCTGGCAAGACAGTGATGGAGTGAATGATGGTGAAAGTTTTTCTTTTTCGGGCCACCCTGCCTTGGTGGGAATCGGCCGGTGTGATAATAATAATAATAAAAAAAACAAAACAGAAGGTCCCCAAGGTGTTCATAAGTTGTAGACTTCTGTATTATGAATATTATGCAAAAAAAATTCAGGCAGTCCCCAATGTGTTTGTAAGTCGAGGACTTACCATACAGTATAACCTACCAGAATAAGGATCACTACATCGAGTGCCCATGATGACAGCTTTGATTTTTGGCCTCTTCTTCAGCAGCTGGCAGAGTGCCCCTTTCATTGGTCCAGGAATGACCTCACAATCCAAATCGTATCTGTGAAAATCAGGGTAAAAATATATTCTACACTCAAAAATATCTTGAAAGACCATGTAATTTTTGAGTGAATTATCCAAGAAATGTTTGGCAGATTTCTCCAATATACTGAATATCTTTCCTTATAAAAATAGTTTAGAGAAATGGATTATATTTAAAAAATACACTTTCACTTATCTTCCCCATGGAGATTGGTGATGGAGATTTTCAGAAGTGTCGTGAGCCTATGCCTTATGTCGCTGACACTGCATATTTAGAAGGCTAGTGCATTAAACCAGTAGTGCATGACCCTAATGGGTTTAGCATTTCTTTTTTTTTTATTATTATAATAATAATAATAATAATAATAATAATAATAGTGCAGTAAACCTATCCAAGGGTTTCACCATGTTCTCCATTGAATCATATTCTATTCACAGACTGACAGCCTGTGTTGGCCAAAGATTATCATTTCATTACTGAGAGGACTGGCCATGAAAGAATTCTAAAGTAACGGGTAATTATTTGCCTTTACATAAGAATTAAATAATTTTTGGGTGTCTGGTCTAAGCTGCAAGATCCAGTACAGGGTATCCAGAATCACTACAAGTATGAGAAGCAAAGAATGCAGATGCTGTAAAATAGCCTGCAGAGAGTTGTATTAAATTGAGAGTGTATAGAGAGAAGGAATAAAGCCTAGGACATCAAGTTATGCAAACAAATGACACCACACCCACCTGCAGGTTGTATTTCAAAGTCTTCAGCAAACCATGACTTGCGTTCTGGGTGAAGTGGTAGTCCCAATGCTCTAAGTAAGTAAAAGTCAGACAGAACATGAAGAGGTTGGAGCCTCTTAACCCCTCAAGAGAAGTTCCCTGATGCTGGTGAGGGGCTCTTGATCTAGGGAATTTGATCTGTGCTCCAATTCCCTGAACTGAACCTGAATACCTTCCATCCCCCCCCCCACATGTGCTGTATATTCCTATGGGTTTAGTGCTCCCCATTTTTTTTTTTTTTCAACAAGTCGGCATATGCGTATAAAGATACACAACATATCCCTCCAAACTGCCAATATCCCAAACCTCTCCTTTAAAGTGCAGGCATTGTACTTCCCATTTCCAGGACTCAAACCCCCTCAGGGAAGGTTCCTTGATGTTGGTGAGGGGCTCTTGATTTAGGGAATTGGATCTGTGCTCCAGTTCCCTGAATTAAGCCTGAATGCCTTCCACATCCCTCCCAGGCGCTGTATAATCCTACGGGTTTAGCGCTTCCCCTTGATTATAATAATAATAATCCAGGACTCAAGTCCGACTATATGAAAATAACCGGTTTCCCTGAATCCCTTCACTAAATATTACCCTGCTCACACTCCAACAGATCGTCAGGTCCCAAGTATCATTCATCTCCATTCACTCCTATCTAACACGCTCACGCACGCTTGCTGGAAGTCCAAGCCCCTCGCCCACAAAACCTCCTTTACCCCCTCTCTCCAACCCTTTCGAGGACGACCCGTACCCCTCCTTCCTTCCCCTATAGATTTATATGCTTTCCATGTCATTCTACTTTGATCCATTCTCTCTAAATGACCAAACCACCTCAACAACCCCTCTTCTGCCCTCTGACTAATGCTTTTATTAACTCCACACCTTCTCCTAATTTCCACACTCCGAATTTTCTGCATAATATTTACACCACACATTGCCCTTAGACAGGACATCTCCACTGCCTCCAACCATCTCCTCGCTGCTGCATTTACCACCCAAGCTTCACATCCATATAAGAGTGTTGGTACTACTATACTTTCATACATTCCCTTCTTTGCCTCCATAGATAACGTTTTTTGACTCCACATATACCACATATACCCCCATGATTATAATAAAATGGAGCCTCCTAAGATAAGACAACAAAGCCTAATGCCTCCTGGGATATTTAAAGCCAAGGTCTCCAATAGGCATCTGCCTATTGGAGACCTTGCTGTGTGGTTCGTACACGACAATTTGAAGGAAGATGGGCTTGTGAGCCTCAGCTCTTATATCATTACTTGTAAGATAGTACAAGTAATTCTTCAGAATTTTATATATTATATCATCGTTGGTGGTAAAAATATCATTCAAAGTGTTAATTGTGGTAACTGTTCCCCTCAACCTCACAATCATCTAGTATATTTTTGTAACTAAAACTTTGTCTTTCGTTAAAAAAAAAAAAAAAAAGTGATTTTACTAAGTACTTTTAATTCCAGATGACAATCAGGATTACCTAACACAAGAATCTAGATTGTATGTTCAGAGTGTCAGAAAAAGAATACCAGACAAGTTAATCTCAGTACAGTGGACCCCCGCTTAACAATCACCTCCAAATGCGATCAATTATGTAAGTGTATTTATGTAAGTGCGTTTGTACGTGTATGTTTGGGGGTCTGAAATGGACTAATCTACTTCACAATATTCCTTATGGGAAAAAATTCGGTCAGTACTGGCACCTGAACATACTACTGGAATGAAAAAAGTTCGTTAACCAGGGGTCCACTGTATATATTTTTACTTTTCTCTTGCATAATTTCCCCCACTGTACTTTCTAACCCTCTGCTTCATCATCATTTCAGTGTGCCTGTTCACTTCAACACTTCAACAGCTACTTCTTGCTTAAAACACACAAAAGCAACAAGCTACACATTGTGTCATTAAGGAACGAGACCAGTCTGACAATTTTTTTTTTTTAAACCACTGTTCACTGAACAACCAGAGCATACACTTGCCTGTTGATGGACTGCTGAACAAACTCTGTAACCTGGGGAAAGACTTTGTTCTCTGTTATGTACACTGCTTGGAGTTTGGTGTTTGGGAAATTTCGTAGCATCATGGCATAAGCCAAGTGGAGCACTACCAGACAGTCTTTACCACCATTGTAGCAAATACAGATTTCTTCAGCACTGAAAGAAAGCAATTTCATTATGATTCAAAGAACAGTAGGGAGCATATTAACATGGCCTAATCTGGGACCAGCCTACAGGGGCATTGATCCCCAAAACTAACCTAACCTGACTTTTCTGTAGTTATCCTAGGCAATGTACATTATGTATAATAATTGTACTTGTGTGTACCAGTGCCTAAATAAGCTTTCTGAAAACATCCTTCAGGAATGAACTTTGTGGATAGTAAGGGTGAATTCATCATCTGAACTTATGTTATAAATGCCTTAAAACACTATGAATGCAGAAATAATTAAAAAAAATAAAATGTATTGAATCTGTTGTGTTCATATTTACTTTTACATGCATATATTATTTCAGGGACAATTTTACAAAAGTTCAGATGCCAAGTTACCCTTACCCTTACAATTTTGTAATATACAAACAATCTTCCATGAGGTATGGTGATGGAAAAAATAAAAAGAGGAAACTCGCTCACCTTCATTCACTCATATTATCAAAATACTATTAATTAGTCAGTCGTGCATAACTCCCCATATTCTTTCATATCCACCTCATGACATACAAGATGCATAATTTCTTCATTAGATAAATAATAATGAATATACAGTACAGTAATTCTGAAGAGAAGTTGCAAAGGCCGGTAAACAAATATGGGGCTGTCAGTGGCCTTATAAACCCCAACAACAACAAATATGGAAGGGTATGTAAAAGAAGGAATTAAAAGTGAATACAGAAAAGAGCAAGGCAATGAGAATATCAAAAAATATAGGCAATGAGAAACTGGATATTAGATTGGTGGAAGAGAATGAAGGAGGTGAATGTGCTCAGATTTCTGGAAGCAGACTTGTTGGCAGATGGTTCTATGCTAGGAGATGAACCAAAAGGGTGGTGGTGCACTGGGGCGTCTGTGGAGACAAACAACTTTATCCATGGAGGTATAAAGTGGAATGTGCCAGAGTATAGTGGTAACAACACTGTTTTATGGGTGTAAGTCATGGGTTTTGAATGTTGCAGCAAGGAGAAGGCTGGAGGCAGTGGTGATATTATATTTGAGGGGTAATGAATATTACAGGAGGGAGGGAGGGAGTTGCCATTGCTATTATCTTGCTCCACCACCCTCCCTCCACACTACAGGAGGAAGAGAATATAAGAGAGGATGGGGCATAAATGATTAGGAGAGAGAGGAATGGGGAAGAAAGAGGGAGATAAAGGAAGAGAGAGAAAGATTCATCTAAGTACTATAAATCACTTTTCATTCCAGTGAGAAAAAATAAATGACATTAGATATAGAACATTATGTTTATGAAATATATCTATTATAACAGAGGTGACTATGAAAAAAAAAGGGTCTTAGAACCAAACGCCCAAGAAATCAACACCTTTCAGGAACTCATTAACGCTTTAAGTGAATACTAACATATTCACATAATACATTACAAAAAAAAGACGACTTTACAAGCCAAATTTACCTGTATCGATCAAAACATTTGCTGAGGATATCAAGTGCTTCTTGTATAGGTGTCTGCAAGGAAGGTGATGATAACAGAAGTCTGTCAATATGTTCCCATGGAGAAGTGACAGTGTCTTCCTTGTAGTCTATAAAAATGTCTAGACCAAACATGAATTAAATTTAAAATTGAAAAAAAAAAAAAATGCATTAAGCAGTACAGTACAAAATAAATTATTGTTATAAGAGTCCCTGAACATGTACAGTAGCCCCTCACATTTCACACATCCAGAGATCAGGTGTCAATAAATCACTATTTAACCCGTAAACGGTCCAAGCAGATCTACGCTCACATGTGTAGTGCTACAAAAGTAGATCTACGTTTTTTTTACATATTTTCAAATATAAAAAAAAAAGTAGATCAAAGTTTTTTAGACATTTTCAAATGTAAAAAAACAAAAAGAAGATCAACTTTTTTTACATACTTTCAAATGTTGAAAAAACGTATATATACATTTGGACCGTTTACGGGTTAAATACTGTACCTAATTCCACTTTCCGTGGGAAGTAATCAGTCGCTCATGCTATAAACTTTGGCTAAGATAAGGTGGTGAGGATATCTAACCAGTAAATAACTCAAAATAATGGTTTCAAGTTGAATAAATTTAGAAAGAATATAGGAAAGTGTTGATTTAGCAACAGAGTTGTAGAGATGAATGGAATAATCTGCCAAGCAGCTTAGAAAGCTTTAAAAATAAATTAAACAAATATACATGTGAGGCCTGAATTTGAAAACCTGCTTAGCATGGGGCAGTAGGCCTAGTGCAATGTCCATGTTATCTTATGTTTTTAACAGACTGAAACACTGGAATATAAGATAACCTCCTTGCTGAGAGTCCTCTTTGATGCAGACATTCTCTTAAGACTTTTTAACACAAACTCTGATTGTAATTCACCTCTTGTACTCTCCCCTACCCCCACTAACCCTTAATCATGTACACTCCTGCCTCTAACTTCCTCCTTTCAACACTTACTTTCGATTATAATAACAATAATAATAATCTCATTCCCTACTAACCTTCACATATTCCACCCTTTAGTGCTGTATGACCCTTTTGGGTTTAGCACTTAATTTGATTATTATAAAAACAGAGCAGCACTGAGTAGTCCTACTGGCCCATACTAGGCAGGTCCCTTTCAAACCCAACCCTTCTCTCAAACATATATATATTGACCCTACTTACCCAACTGCACTTTCCTATACCCTTTCTAAATTTAAAATGATCCATCTTGAATCCATTATTTCAAGTTCTTCCTTGGTTAGATATCCTCAGAGATGTGCCCTATTTATATCTCATTTATTCTTGCCTGCCTTCCACTTGTACATTTCAATCATGTTTCCCTCTCTTTCAAGAAGCGTAGGTTCAGGGCTCTCAATTTCTGAATGAAGGATTCCTTATAAAGTTGATTAATTTTATCAGTCCTCTCTGTATATTCAATGCATGCCCCAATTAAAAATTATTGTGCAATGTAAATACAGGGCAAATACAGGGCAAGTCAGTGAGCATAGTACAAGGAAGGATAAATATAAAAAACATCATGACGAAAGGGTAAAAACAGAGAAAAATCATGTCAGCATCTTACCTCTTGGAAGCTTACTTCTGAGGCACTGTTCTGCTTCTTTTAGGATTTCAGTGTTGAGGGATTCCAAGGTGATTTTTGTTTTGTAGTAGCTGAAACATAGTACATTATACCTTTACTATGAAATGTCAGTAATTCTTTAAAAAGTACTGCATTCAGCAGTACGGTGGTCTCTTGAGTTATGATGGAGTTGAGTTATGACAATTCTGAGTTACAATTTATGCTTATGAAGGAATTAGTTTTGAGTTGACATGGGAATTTGAGATATGATATGTGTACAATGGTATAACCATTGCAAGTCACACTCTGGGACTAGTTAATGATCCAAGTCGGACTGAAACATCGTCATAAGTTTCATTCTCCTATGAGTTATTTGTATAAGATTAACCTAAGTTGCTGGAAATACTCTGCATAACCAGGGGCTTTCAATATACAGTAATATGCCAATGATGTCAGCGAGGTCCATAAATTAGTTGTATCATGCACTTGTAAAAATTATTATTATTATTATCACACTGGCCGATTCCCACCAAGGCAGGGTGGCCCGAAAAAGAAAAACTTTCACCATCATTCACTCCATCACTGTCTTGCCAGAAGGGTGCTTTACACTACAGTTTTTAAACTGCAACATTAACACCCCTCCTTCAGAGTGCAGGCACTGTACTTCCCATCTCCGGGACTCAAGTCCGGCCTGCCGGTTTCCCTGAACCCCTTCATAAATGTTACTTTGCTCACACTCCAACAGCACGTCCAGTATTAAAAACCATTTGTCTCCATTCACTCCTATCAAACACGCTCACGCATGCCTGCTGGAAGTCCAAGCCCCTCGCACACAAAACCTCCTTTACCCCCTCCCTCCAACCTTTCCTAGGCTGACCCCTACCCCGCCTTCCTTCCACTACAGACTGATACACTCTTGAAGTCACTCTGTTTCGCTCCATTCTCTCTACATGTCCGAACCACCTCAACAACCCTTCCTCAGCCCTCTGGACAACAGTTTTGGTAATCCCGCACCTCCTCCTAACTTCCAAACTACGAATTCTCTGCATTATATTCACACCACACATTGCCCTCAGACATGACATCTCCACTGCCTCTAGCCTTCTCCTCGCTGCAACATTCATCACCCATGCTTCACATCCATATAAGAGCGTTGGTAAGACTATACTGTCATACATTCCCCTCTTTGCCTCCAAGGACAAAGTTCTTTGTCTCCACAGACTCCTAAGTGCACCACTCACCCTTTTCCCCTCATCAATTCTATGATTCACCTCATCCTTCATAGACCCATCCGCTGACACGTCCACTCCCAAATATCTGAATACATTCACCTCTTCCATACTCTCTCCCTCCAATCTGATATCCAATCTTTCATCACCTAATCTTTTTGTTATCCTCATAACCTTACTCTTTCCTGTATTCACTTTTAATTTTCTTCTTTTGCACACCCTACCAAATTCATTCATCTGAAAGCAGTGAAGAGTTTTTACGAGGATAGTGAGGCTCAAGTTAGAGCATGTAGTAAAGAGGGAAATTATTTCCCAGTAAAAGTAGGCCTTAGACAAGGATGTGTGATGTCACCATGGTTGTTTAATATATTTATAGATGGGGTTGTAAGAGAAGTAAATGCGAGGGTCTTGGCAAAAGGTGTGGAGTTAAAAGATAAAGAATCACACATAAAGTGGGAGTTGTCACAGTTGCTCTTTGCTGATGACACTGTGCTCTTGGGAGATTCTGAAGAGAAGTTGCAGAGATTGGTGAACAAATAATTATTGTAATTAAATAAATGCCTTGGTGGGATATGGCCAGTTTGTGGAAAGAAGAACTAAATCTTAAGTTTCATCTCCAAAGTAATTGCTTTTGCACCATCGTAAAGTCAAGTTGAACTATCATAAGCTGAGAAGCACCTATAATCTGCTTACCTTCCAGTATCAAATTTCTTTACCATATATATACATATTTTTTTTAACATGTAGGCCATTTCCCACAGAGGCAGGGTGACCCAAGAGGAAAGAAAAACCCAAAAAAAAGAGAAAACTTTCATCATCATACTAACATAACCGTGTCTTTGTAAAGGCACTCAGATACGACAGTTTAGATGTCCCTCCAAACTGCCAATATCCCAAAGCCCTCCTTTAAAATGCAGGCATTGTACTTCACACCTCCAGGACTAAGTCCAGCTAATCGGTTTCCCTGAATCCTTTCATAAAATATTACCCTGCTTACACTCCAACAACTCGTAAGGTCCCAAAAACCATTCATCTCCATTTAATCCTATCTAACGTGCCCACGCAGCTTAGTACAAGTATTAAAAACAATATATTTTTTTATAGCTCACTCAAAAGTTACTACAGCCTCTCCTCACTTAGCAATGTATTCGTTTACCGAAGCTTCGGACTTACAACAGGTTCTCTGACCAGTATGCATACCTAAATAATGTAAATTAGAGCTGATTTCCTCTATTCTGTTTACTACAATATACAGTACACTACTGTATAAGCATTTAAAAATATACTAGAAATGTTATAAATAGTGCAAAGGTGACATTAAAACAATATCAAAGATGGCTGACACAAACCCACTACCATTACAGTGTGCTCCTCATTTAGCGACGAATTCATTTCCTGACGGGGTCTTAGGAATGGAACTCCATCGTTAAGTGAGGAGACGTTGTACTGTATCATATCTATAGAGAAGCACTAAATCTATATGGGTCACACAGCACTGGAGAAATGGGAGAATATTAGGTTTGATTTAAGGAAAGGAAGGCTAACTTCAGTTTCTTGGATCAAAAGCAAATCATTGATATTAAGCCACCCACCTTCCAAAACCTTATTATAAACATTGAAGCAGCTTCTCTTTCTATGAATGAGAGTATTTACAAAACTATTAAAATACAGTATATCATTATTATTACATTCACTGGATGGAGCTAAAGCTGTAAGGATCATACAGCACCTGGGAAAATGGGAAACATTCAGGCTTGATCCAAGAAAAGGGAGCACAGGTCCAATTATTAAGATCAAGAGCCTCTTCCCGGCATCAAGGAACCTATCTCGAGGGTTAAAGAAAAGTAAAAACGGTTATACACTACACAAACCTGTGGAATAACTTTGGATATGATCCAAAAGACACAGAGGGAAATTCAGCCACAACTTCATTGAGTAGCGAAGCAATGGACACCTCATCTGCTGTCAAGTACACCACCCTGACACAGAACTCCATGCCTGGAGTGTGGAACAACTTCTGCAAAAAAACACAAAGAGTTGGGCAGATACCTGTTAAGTCAGTGCCTGATCAGCTGGGCTGTGATGCATATATTGGACTACGTGCAGCCAGCAGTACCAACCTGGTTAAACAGGCCCTGTCTGCATGACCCTTGTCAATTTAGCGCTTTATCTGATTATAATAAATAATAGTGATCAGGCCCTGATTCAGCGGGAGGCCTGGTCAACGACTGGGCTGTAGGAATGTTGACCCCACCTGAACACTCTCCAGGTAGACTCCGGGTATGGAGTACAAAGAATCACTGATTATCTAAATACAGATATAGATCAGGGGTGGGGAACCTTTTAATGCTGGAAGGCAGCATTAAAGCTAGCTGTAATCTAATAAGGTCACATTCAAGAAATTTTGATTAGATATACTATTAATTGTTGGTTATTTTGTAAAAATTAATTACATAATAACCTAATGAAAAATTCTGATTCTGATTCATTCAGAAGGCCGCACTTAATGCCCTAGAAGGCTGCAGGTTCCCCACCCCTGATATAGATACGTAGTTCAAGTGCATTAAATTGATCAAGGAAGATACCCAAAGTCATTTACCCTAGCTCATAATGCGAGCATATTAGAGCAAAATCTCAAACACCTGCCACAAGATTATTATTAATTCATAGGGAAGGCTAAACCCATAAGGGTATGTAGTACCTGGAGAATAGCAGGGAATCAGGTTTGATCCAAGGAAGGAGAGAGTAGGCCAAATTACCTTGAGCAGGAGCCCTCCACCAGCATTAAGGCTGTTGATATTATTTAAGAGTGACAGCAGACAATGGGATAAAATATGGAGTCAATTTTCAGGGCAAGTAAAGTGAATGTCCCAGTTATCGTCTTACATCATAATTTTTAATTCAGTACCCAGTAAGTTCTTATAAAGCTTCTTTATATACAGCCTCTCCTCACTTTGCAATGTACTTGTTTACCAATGCCTTGGACTTACGACGGGCTCTCTGACTAGTATGCATGCCTAAATAATGTATATTACAGCTGATTTCTTCTACTCTGTTTATTACAATATACAGTACACTACTGTATAAACATTTAAAAATATACCAAAAATGTTATACATGGTGCAAAGGTGACATAACAATATCAAAGATGGTTGACACAAACTCACTACCATTTTAGTATGCTCCTCACGTAGCGACAAATTCGTTTAGTGACGTGGTCTTAGGAACGGGACTCTATCGTTAAGTGAGGAGAGGCTGTAGTATGATATTGTGGAAATGTGATTGCAAAGGTGCAACCAAAATTAAGTAACATGTATTATGAAGGCATTTCCTCATGCTACTCAGTTCTGGATGCACTTTATAAATCACATTTAAACTGTCATATCTGCACACAGATACAACAGTTTAACTGTGATTTATAAAGGGTCTCCCACAGAGGCAAGACCCTGCCTCTGTGGGAGACAGCTAGCATTTAAAAAAAAAAAAAACATACAAAAACAATCACAGGAGCTTTAAAGAGAGCTTATTTTCATAAATTATCCTGCATCCTATAACCTTCCTTTCTGTAGTGTTCACTAGATATTTCATAACTGTCAATCCAGCTTCATTTCAAAGAGGTGAAGATAATATAGTATTCTGTAGGAAAATTACAGAGAGAAGAGAAACAACTAACCTTTCCTAAGAGCTCAAAAGCTCTCTCTAATAGATGTGGGACTCCTGGGAATACAGTCACATTCCTCACACTAATGATTGGATATCGAGACTTGATGCCTTTTGATTTGTCCTCACCAAAGTGGAGTACCGCAGACTCGGGAATCTGTCAATTTAACATAAATTATCAACCATGGCAAGTACTGTAATATTCATGGGTCATGATCAACTTGTAGGGATCGTACAATCTGGTGGAGTGGACGTAATCGGGTTTGATCCACAGAGGGGGAGGTTAGCTTCAATTCCTTGAACCAAGAGCTCTTCACCAGGATCAACATACCTTCCTTGACAGGAATAACTATGGCAGGATTTGCTTATAGAAATAAATTAATGGGCATCCAGAGAAATCCCATTCTCTCTTATGCATGCTCAAAACAAGGAAATGTTTACCAGTATCACTAAGCATGTAAAGGTGCTCCTTGACTTATGATGGGGTTATGTTCCAACAACCCCATTGTAAGTCGAATATGAATATGATGTACTAAATAAATAAATAAATAAATAACTACTGTCACCAAATAAGTAAAAAAACAAATAATTAATGTAACTAACTAAATACCAGTACAGTGGACCCCTGGTATACGATATTAATCTGTTCCTGAGAGCTCATCGTATGCCAAACTTATCGGAAGGCGAATTAATTTTCCCCATAAGAAATAATGGAAATCAAATTAATCCGTGCAAGACACCCAAAAGTACATATGTACTATGAAAAAAAAAGTTTTACCACATGAAATATTAAGTTTAATGCACACAAACTGAAGAAGACATGCACAGTTAGTAGTACTCTACTAACAATAGAATACATGACACTTACCTTTAATGAAGATCTGGTGATGATTGATGGGATGGGAGGAGGGGAGAGTGTCGAAGCTGTTAATGTTTGGGAATCCCCTTCTATTAGGACTTGAGCTAGCAAGTCCTTTTCCGGGGTTACTTCCCTTAATCTTTTAATGCCACTAGTTCCAGCTTGAGAGTCACTGGAACTCTGTTGCACAACAAATCTGTCCATAGAGGTCTGTACCTCTAGTTCCTTTAAGATTTGTCTAAAATGGGCCACAACATTGTCATTGTAATAGTCACCAGCACAGCTTGCAATAGCTGTGTTAGGGTGATTTTCATCCATAAAGGTTTGCAGTTCAACCCACTTTGCACACATTTCCTTAATTTTTGAAGTAGGCACAATGGATTCCACAACTGGCATAGGCTTCTCAGGGTTAGCCCGAAACCCTTCAAAATCTTTCCTAATTTCCATACTAATTCTCACTCTTTTTACCACAGGGTTGGCACTAGAAGCTTTCTTGGGTCCCATGGTGACTTATTTTGCAGAAACAAGCACCAAAAACACTGTGATAATATGGAATGTACCAAATGTATGCTTAGATGCGAGCACACTGGCTGGCTTGTAAACACTGGCATGCACGGGGCAGTTCAGGCCACATGTGGACGCATCCCAGATGAATCGCGTGTGGCGGGTTTTTTAACGAGTGGCGAGGCAAAATTTTTGCATTAAAATGTATCGTATACCGGATTTAACGTATATCGATGCCATTGAATGCCGGGGGTCCACTGTATTGAAAAGTAAAATGAATGCAAGTTATGGACTTGCCACGTTCATGCTAGGTAATTATCTCCAAATTAAATGCTTTTGCACCATCATAAAGTCAAAATATCCTAAGTTGAAGAGAACCTGTACTTATTTTTATGTCCATCAAACATTACCAATGGTTTCTGACCAGCCGGGCTGTGGCTCGTACGTTGGTTTGTGTGCAGCCAACAGTAACAGTCTGGTTGATCAGGCTCTGATCCACCAGGAGGCCTGGTCACAGACCGGGCCGCGGGGGCATTGACCCCCGGAACTCTCTCCAGGTAAACTCCAGGTAATAATGAGAGTATGTCTAGATAAAGGGTATACAGAATTGTAAAGATCTTATTGATGCCAAAGAAATTCCACATGGAGAAAATAAAACAGGGAATAGGAAGTAATGAATATCTGGGTATACAACTGAGGCCATTTTTGTTAAGCAGACTGAAGAGGGTCTTACCTGTAAGCCGAAATATACAGTACGTACTTTCAGCTGTAGGTTGAAATATACAATACTCTCAGCTGTAGGCTGAAGTATACAGTAATCTCAGCTATAGGAATATGTTGTGTTTTATTTCTATCATGTGGGCTAATTTGTGCACTGACCAGTGTTCATTACACTTTTGTATTTAGATGTTACTGATATTCCAAGTGCACTCAGAATGTTCAACAGTCAAGGAATAAAAAATAATTAGTACCAAAACTCATTAATTATCTTTTCACACAATAAATGGTCCTTAAAGAAATAATATCACCCAAATCTCCACATACACTTCTAATGATTAAACAGTGACAACAAATGCGACATACAAAAACAATAAAACAAATATCATGCTAGCCTCGAGCACATGTTAGTAACCAGATAGTTGCTGAGCATTTGAGTCACACCCAAAAAGACCCAGGCTTGATTCCCAAGTTAAGTGGAGACATATGGGCAAGGCTTCCTATACATATTGCTTGTGCTCTTGACCATAAGTAAAGGTATTTGGATGTTAAGTAACCCCTTCTCCTGTACAAATTACTAAAATTAAAAAGAATAATTTACATTTTTTATTTTAGGTAACCCTGCCTCTATGGAATATGGTCAGTGTGTTGAAAAAAAGAGGGTTAACACACTGGTTGTCTCCTACTGAGGTAGGGTTCCCCTCCCCCCCCCAACCTACCCACCCCAAAAAAAAGTAAACGCATTCATCATTATTCATTCAAGAGTTGTCTTTCCAGAAATATGATGACATCACACTTCAAACGCCCTTCTAAACTGCAACAATTTTCCCCTCATCATCCTTCAGATTGCAGGTACTCTACTGTCCACCTCCATAACTCTTGGCTGACTTAATTAGTTTTCCCTGAATCCTTTCATAAATGTTACCTTGTTCACACTCTAACATTATGTCAAGCCATTTGTCTCCATTTTGATCTAACATGCTCACAATCCTGCTGGATGTTCAAGCCCCAAACACTCAAAACCTAATTTACTGATCCTTCCAACCCTTCATGGGACAACCTTTACCTTTCCTTCCTTCCTTCCATCCTCAATTTGTACACTCTCTTAGTCATCTGATTCTGCTCCATCCTCTCTAAATGCCCAAACCACCTTGATGTACAGGCAAGAACATCCTCCAGGTAAATATTCCCTCCCAAGCTTCATTCAGACGCCAGAATCAACAGCTATGGTCACAATTTGTGGAATGATTATATGCTTGAACAGACACCTCAATAATTTCCTATCCTCAACATGGGTACATAATCAATATGCTTATGTAATGTATATGCAACTAAATTTCCCACTATATAGTAAAACTTGTAATTCGAAAAATACCACATACACTAAGCAATAATTATACTAAATGGAATCTAAAATAAAATCAAGTATTTTTTTTGGATGAATTAACATGAAGATAAAATTATTATACTAGTATATTACACATGTGTACAGCATCCTATATTGATCTAAATCTGGAATTTTAAAAACTTTTCCCAGTGGAATTTTCAAAATCAAAACTTGACCTTCCCATTTAGAAGAAATATTCAGCTGCACAGAAGTGTTTCCATGAAAATTTTTTTTGTAATAGACTTTATATTATAACAACGATTATGTGACTATTATCTCATTAGTGTATCCATGAGTGATATACCTTTAAATAAACTATGCAATAAGGTCAATTTTTAAACTATGTATACTTGAACAACATACAGTGGACCCTCGGTTATTAGCCATTCTGCTTATCAGCCAACTCGGTTATCAGCCAGTTTTTCAGCTTCTGGTTATCGGCCATTATTTCGCTTATCGGCCGTATGGGACGCGTCAACCCGCTGCCGTCAGCCACTCACGCATCAGTCTGGCTTTGTTTCTGGGCGAGTGAGAAAGCTTCTGCTCATTCATTCAAACATTTCACTATAATATGGAGGGAGGGAGTGTAGCAGGGAGGCAGAGAGTGTAGTAGGGAGGCAGAGAGTGTAGTAGGGAGTGTAGGAGGAAGGCAGGGAGTGTAGCAGGCATGCAGGGAGTGTAGCAGGCATGCAGGGAGTGTAGCAGGGAGGCAGGGATTGTAGCAGGCATGCAGGGAGTGTAGCAGGCAGGCAGGGAGTGTAGGAGAAAGGCTGGGAGTGTAGCAGACAAGCAGGGAGTGTAGTAGGGAGGCAGGGTGTTGCAGGGAGTGTAGGAGGAAGGCAGGGAGTGTATCAGGCAGGGAGGGAAGTAACCCCAAAGAGAGCTTTGATACCTGAAGTCCTTATGGAGGGGGGATTCCCCTTCTGAACAATAATCAATCATCCCTCTCTCTTCCTCCCCTGTCTTCCATAAGCCAACAAGAGTCTTCAATAAAGATATGTAATAGTGATTTAAATGTTGATTTATTTATTTTATTTAGTTCTCGTTTTGCGTATGTAAAACTATAATTAATCTTCAACAATATATTTTTTGTTAATATTTTTGGGTGTGTGGGATGGATTAATTGTATTTACATTAATTCTTATGGGAAATATTATTTCGGATTTTGGCAATTTCGGTTTTAGGCTGACCTTCTGGAGTGAATTACAGCCAATAACCGAGGGTCCACTGTATCTACGATTGATTTTTACAGAATATTGCATATTACTCTGGCAATTACTTGAAATGAAATTCTCAAGTGCTCACGAATATTTCAACCTTCTATGAGGACATACGTGCGCCATCTTCATTGCTGGTGAGCTGAGGTCATCTGTCTTGAAATAGGAACTAATAAACTGTACCAACATTGGATGTGGATGAACCTTTTCCCCAAATGCTGCAGCCACACCTGAAAGAGACCAATGCAAGGCAATGTCTGTAACAAGCCATTGGCAGGAAGACAATGATAAGTGGTAATTTTAACATATTAAACAGAGTAAACCTTCATTGTAACCTACAGTGGGAATTTATCACTGGATAAAGCCCCACTGTGTAACCTGTCTTAAAATAAAGTTTTTTCCTGTTTAGGCCAAAAAGATACGCTCAGTACACCATTTCACCTACATGAGGGGTTAAAGAGTATGTATAATAGTCTCATATATACAGGTGAAACATCATACTAATAAAGATCTCCTTAAATAACACAAAAATGGAGGAACACTGCAGCAGGCCTACTGGCCCATATTAGGCAGGTCCTTCTCAAACCAAAACCCACTAAACAAAAATATATGCCCAACCCCTTTTCAATATTACCTAAGGAATGAGCTTTGATAACCCTATTGAAGCTTTAATTGTATGTGTCATTTTATTACTTGTTGGCTATGCCATACTTCAACTAGCTCTCCCTGTTTAAAAACTCTCTGAATTACCAAGCCATCAATATTAGTCCTATACACTGTGACCTTGACAATGCTCTCCAGAAAATATTAAAACCAAAGAAGACATAATACTGTCCTTATCTAATCCTAATTAAAACTGCAAATAGATTACAGAATCCTGAATCATCTTAATACAAGTTTTACTCTCATGCTAAGTAAAATATCTGGCAAATACATTATTATATGTTTGAATACATCTGCTACTTTAATTATCGTTTATTACTACCGGATTTGTTTATCACCACCACAAACCTTCAAATGTGATATCATCGTGAGTTGGGCCAATTCCTCCTGATGTTAAAACAAAAGTAAATTGCTTTGAGAACGCTGCCACCTCATCGGCTATCGTTTGAACATCATCAGGAATTACCGAGATCTGAGGAACAACAAGCGAATATATTCCAGTATGCTTCAAATAAGTGATTTTCCACATTTTAACAACTTAACCAGTCAAAGCAAGCTTGAAATTTTCACAGACAATTTTTTCTAATAATAGTATGGTAACAAACCAATTACACCTAACTGATCCTTTTATTACTACATCTGTTTATATGGTGTACTGTGCTCTACATTAAAAATATAACTGTTATTAGTAAGTCAGCAGAGTGGCAATAGATTCTAGTTTCAAAAGGAAAAACAGAGGAAGATAGCATCTGTAGTGATCATCATCAGGTGACATGATACTATATGATAAAATTTATCACATCATAACAGTCAATATTTCAACAAAAATACTAAAATAAAAATATCTCAAATAAGATCAATTTAGTCAGCAGAAAATAAAATTTGGAAATGGGAAAAATCTACAAACTACAAAGTTACTTTTGATGAAAACTTAAAGTAAAGGAGCATATTTTTACCCGCTTAACTTTAACACCTAGATTATGAAGCTTTCTTGTAAGGAAGTACGTGTTTGTGTCTTGTGTCTGGCCCTTCAAAATTTCATCACCTATAACTGAAAAGTAAACCAATGAATTAGTTCCATTCATAATTAGAAAATGTTTAAATACTGTATTACCACATTTGCATCAGTACATATATATCAAGACTATTTGAAGTTAAAAATAAATTAAAATGGATCTTTTGTCTTGGTCAACCTCTCAATGACAAGTGTTCAGTGATAACAAGACATTAGCAATATGCTGATAGAAAATGAGTCTAGAACGTAATTAGTTTTTGTGTTTTGACTTCCAGCTGATATTATGTCTTATATAGCTAACATACATGTACTTATTACTGCCATCTGATTCTCTCTTTAATGTTAATGTAAATAACTCAGTTAACCTTATTCCTAGTATATCTCCTTTTATTGTAACTGCCTTTCATACAGTTGAGTTACTTAGCTGTTTTAACTTTTAAGGTTTAAATAAGATATTACAAGGACCCCACTGGAAATAAATTACTTTGTCTTTCTTTTTGGGTTATCCTAGGTAATTTACACTGGTGGCTAATTTACACATGTTATTATGTATGATAATTGTAATCACCTAAATTTATGTAACTATACTTATGGGAGCCTGTACCTAAATAAAATTACACCACTCAGCTCACAAACTGAGATCCAAGGTTCGATCTCCAGTACAGGTGAAAACATTTGGGTGTTTCCTTAAGACACCTGCTGTCCATGTTCACCTAGCAGTAATTAGGTACCTGGGTGTTAGTCAATTTGTGTAGGTCACATCATGGGGACAAAATTGACCTAATTTACCTGAAATGCTCTGCATAACAAAGGGCTTTCTATATAGTAGTGTGTCACTGATGTTAGGTAGGCCTGTGCACCTTATACATGCACTAGTAGAAATAAAGATTATTATTATTTCTGTTGAGAAGGCCCTTCTTGATTAAGTCTTGCTTTACTGTATATTATATTTATGGAGAAGCACTAAACCAACAGAGTTCATAAAGTTCCTGAGGAATAGTAGGCTCATAAAGTACCTGAGGAATGGAGGGTTCATAAAGTACCTGAGGAATGGAAGGTTCATAAAGCACCTGAGGAATGGAGGATTCATAAAGTACCTGAGGAATGGAGGGTTCATAAAGTACCTGAGGAATGGAAGGTTCATAAAGCACCTGAGGAATGGAGGATTCATAAAGTACCTGAGGAATGGAGGGTTCATAAAGTACCTGAGGAATGGAGGGTTCATAAAATACCTGAGGAATATGAGGTTCATACAGTGCATGAGGAATGGGAGGTTCATAAAGTGCATGAGGAATATGAGGTTCATAAAGTGCCTGAGGAATATGAGGTTCATAAAGTGCCTGAGGAATATGAGGTTCATAAAGTGCCTGAGGAATGAGGTTCATAAAGTGCCTGAGGAATATGAGGTTCATAAAGTGCCTGAGGAATATGAGGTTCATAAAGTGCCTGAGGAATATGAGGTTCATAGTGCCTTAGGAATATGAGGTTCATAAAGTGCCTGAGGAATATGAGATTCATAAAGTGCCTGAGGAATATGAGGTTCATAAAGTGCCTGAGGAATGGTTCATAAAGTGCCTGAGGAATATGAGGCTCATAAAGTGCCTGAGGAATATGAGGTTCATAAAGTGCCTGAGGAATATGAGGCTCATAAAGTGCCTGAGGAATATGAGGTTCATAAAGTGCCTGAGGAATATGAGGTTTATAAAGTGCCTGAGGAATGGTTCATAAAGTGCCTGAGGAATGGGAGGGGTAGCAGCCATGCATCGTATTGGGAATGGGAGGCAATCTGGTTTAATTCAAGGAAGGGGAGGATATGTCCGGTTCCTTGGATCAAAAGCCCCCCTCACCACCTTAAAGGGTATACACTCACTGATCAGTCCTGCCGTGGGTATGCTATCTGGTAATTGGTCTGCCACATCTTGATGCCTCTGACTGGTCATGGCGGAGCTCACTGGCCTCCAAAAGCTCCTTCCTGGTAGAAACGACAACCTGATCTTCAGCAGTGCAGCGATCAGACTCCCCTGAGTGGCTAGTGAGCTGCTGAAGGAGGAAAAGATGGAATGTGTGGCCAGCAGTCCTCCAGTACACCGTGTCAATACCTCCATGACTTGCCTCCAGGCTCTCTTATCTCCTCATTTACCCCATTATTTCTCCTCTCTACCACATCTATCAGCATTTTTCTCGCCATATTCCTGTTAAGTACAACACGACATTGTGTATCCCGCTATCATAAGTCTCTCTGGAAAGTAAGAAGCATATGTGGTGAGAATAAATATCCTTGAGAAATGTAATCCCGTTAAAAACTCTCAAACAGTTTGCGCTGGATTATTATTATTATAATCAAGGGGGAAGCGCTAAACCCGAAGGATTATACAGCGCCTGGGGGGGGGGATGTGGAAGGCATTCAGGCTTAATTCGGGGAACTGGAGCACAGATCCAATTCCCTAAATCAAAAGCCCCTCACCAACATCAAGGAACCTTCCTTGAGGGGAGTTTGCGCTGGAAAACATTCCTTTATGCAAGAGAAGAGCTCTTGATCCAAGGAAGAGGACCTGTCCTTTCCTTGGATGGAACCTCATTACCTAACATTTCCACGAGTGCTATATGATCCCCCCACCCCTATGGGTTTAGCAATTATAGATATAATAATCTGAATGTGTTGCTATGTGAATACCTGAATGCCTTCCACATCCCCCCCCCCAGGCGCTGTATAATCCTCCGGGTTTAGCGCTTCCCCCTTGATTATAATAATAATGCTATGTGAATATATAACTATATGTTAATGTGTACTATAAGTGTAGTCACCTAATTTTGTGTAACTGTACTTATATGTACCTAACTAAACTTGCTTAATATAATATTACTTTGATAAATCCTAGCATATTGAAAACAAATTTTGTAAACTAAGCTAATTTTAAGAAATAACTGCAAATGTATAAAAATAATTTATAAATTTTTTATTTACAATTTTAATTTTCTAATATAAGTAACGCAATTTTATTTTTCTTATGCAGCTTTTTATGTATATTTTTTATTGACATGCAGTGCAGTGTCATGCATTATTATTTGTATTTAAATTGCAAACACCACACTGTGTGGTTATTATAATTTATATATATTTATATAGCATTTTTATTAAATTTCTATTAGTTAAAATAATAATACTTTTAGTCTCGTATCTTTCATAACAAAATTAACACTAGAAATGTTTACATCCTGAGGGAACGGCTTCTAAATGAAATCGGTCACTGACTCAGTTTCAGTAGACACCTCACATTTGCCGGGTTTAGACAATGAAGTTTATTTTTTAATGTCTTAAAACACGTATATTCCTTTCAGTTCCAATATGAGCAATATTTTTGCCAGATTTTGGCAATATTTCCCCTCCAAACGCAGAGATTCAGGACTCGCCAGCCATGAGCAGTACTAACCTGTAACAACCCCAACAATAAATGTTTATAATAGGTGAAAGAGGTGATTTTTTTGGTTAAAATATAATCACCCATTATCCAACACGATATAAGGGTAGATTAGTAAGTTACTTTATTCAGGTATAGATACCCATATATACAGATACATAAATTATCATACATAGCAGCATATGTGTAATTACCTAGGATAACCCGCTAAGAAAAGTTAGTGAGTTATTTCCATTGGTTTGTCCCCTCAAGGAAGGTTCCTTGATGCTGGTGAGGGGCTCTTGATCTAGGGAACTGGATCTGTGCTCCAGTTCCCTGGATTAACCCTGAATGTCTTCCATCCCCCCTACAGGCGCTGTATAATCCTACAGGTTTAGCGCTTCCCCTTTATAATAATACTCCATTGGTTTGTGGCTCACACCTGAGGAACCTGGGTTCGATCCCAGCACTAGTGGGAACGTTAGGTTGGCTCCCTTACACCTGTTGTCTCTGTTCATAGGTAAATAGGTTCCTGGGTGTCATTTAGCTGCTGAGAACCGCATTCTCGGGGAAGTGGATCAAATTAACCCCAATGAAAATTAAGTTAGACTTCATTTGGTTATTCATGGCTACAAACCCTTTCAAGTAATCATTCAAATATCATCTAGGTTAAGTGAGGTTAGTGCTTGCCAATTAGTAAGTTTACTTAGGTATGGGTACACGTAAGTACGGAAAGAACAAAAATGCACGATACCGTGACTAGAACAATACATAATGATAATTTAATAAAAGATAACCCAAAAAAAGTAAGCAATTGTAAATTTCTGGAGAGAACAAGCTCTTTAAGAATAACAAAATAGCAAATAATTTATTATTATTATTATTATTATTATTATTATTATTATTATTATTATTATTATTTATTATTATGTTCATTGGTCTTTACTGTTTCAGGGGTGGTACAGTGATGGTGAAGGGCTCTTGGTCCAAGGAATTGGAGCTACTCTCCTTTTTATTCGCCTCACATTAAACCTATTCCCCAGGTGCTGTATGATTTCTACTGCTGTAGTATTTCCCATACTTTACCTTGGACCATTCACATACACTGTCTGTGTATACTAAAGAGTTAACAGGGCTATATACCTTTGATATACCTTTGATGAGTTTCGAGAGTCTTTGTGCTTCAGGAGCCCAGCCATGAGCTAGGCTCATCTGGTGCTTGCCTGCTCAATCAGGCTGTTGCTGCTGGTGGGGTTAGACTGTACATTACTGTACTAACAGCATCTAAAAAGTTTGTAAAAAAAATCAAATAATGAATGTCAAGCAAGGATTATTGGCTCAATCTTTTACAGACCTAGAAATGTGTTTATTTTTATCCATTTGTTAGCTTAATTATGCTGTAGTGATCACTTCACAGGTTGTGTGGCCTTGATTCTGATGATGAGCTCTTGATTTGAGGAATTGGAGCTGTCCTACCCTTTTGGATGAAATCTAATTATCTCTCATACTCCAGGTGATGTATGACCCCTTCAAGGTTATGCTTCCCTATAATAATAATAATAATAATAATAATAATAATAATAATAATAATACAGTGTGATACTGTATTAATGTATTTAACCCTGATTTTGAAGCATAACTGTAGCCACAAATGCAAGATGTACATAAAGGCAAATAATTTCTAGTTATTATAAATGCAGGAATAATTTCTAGTCATTATAAATGTAGCAATGATTTCCAGTTATTATAAAAGTAGATCATCCACTTACATCCCAGTTAAACTTTTGTGATTACCTATCAGTAACATTGGAGATTGCACTGAATGACCCTGACAGAATTAACACTTTTCAGGAATATTATTTTTGCAGCACTCTGTCAATATTCCTGTTACTGATGACACTGAATAGAGTGTGCAGGGTTCATCAAGCATTACAAAAAGCATTTTTATAATGTATATGAATAATGTATACGAATAACTAATGGCAACCTTCATCTTTCAGATTTGCTACTATGAGTTCTTAAAAAGACTTCAAAGCAGAGGAATGTAAGGAGCACCAGGTCAAACAACAAGTTACAAGATTCATTAGGATTCTAAGACTCGAGAGAGGTGGGGAATGCAAATCACTTCGATGGATCATGATATTCACCATGGGATGATTGCTAGGGATGAATATGTTGTGACACATGGCACCTTACCTGATGTTTTAGGCCGAGGAACTATGGAACATGAGATAGTTATGGCATCCAGTAATCTGATGCTAGTTAATAATGTACCTCAAAAGAGGCCCTCTGTATCACCTATGGAGACAAGAGATGCCAAGAAGCCAAGATCCAAATCACTTCAGTTCATCTGCACTGTGCCAGAATGTGCAGAGAAATTTAATAACCAAGAACATCTTGACACACACATGAAATTACACTTTGGAGTGAAACCATTTACATGTGATGTATGTGGTAAGGTTTGCCAGACCGAGAGTCGGCTCAAGACTCACCAAGCCTTTCATGTCAATGATGGTGTCAAACCAAAATGTGATGTCTGTGAACGCAGCTTCTCAAGTCGCAGTGCACTAAACAAGCATAAAAAAATGCTGCACAAGCCTAAACCCCATGTTTGTCCACACTGCAACTCAGGATTTGAAGAGCATAAATATATGGTCATCCACGCCAAAAGATCGCATGATGCGGATCTCTCTCCTGAAGTAAAGGAATCTGAGCTTCCCACATCAAGTGACTACTTTGAAGTTGATAACTTTGATTCAAATTCAAATTTAAATGAATGTAAACATTACTTTAAAGAAAATTACTCTGTACCAATAGATGAAAATCCACTCACACACACAGCCATTTCTAACAACTCCCTTGAACCTCCAAAAGAGAATTCTCAGTCTGAATTATCTGTTCTGCAAAAGAAAATTGCTATTCCTAGTCCAACTTCTGTATGTCCTCTCATTACGTGTGAGTTTTGCTCATCAACCTTTCCTTCACTGGCTTACTTGGAGCAACACATGGAAGTACATTTAGGAGAGAAAACGTATGCCTGTCATAATTGTGGGGTGAGTGTCTCCAGTTTGCATGACTTGAGTAACCACCTGAAGCTACACATAGCAGAAACTGAGAGTACAAACTTTATTACAAGCAACAGTAATGGACATTTTAGTCAGTTTGTGCCTCTGCCCATGCAACCAGTGCCTACCAGAGCTCCCCAGATGTTTGATAAATATATATGTGTTATCTGTAATGAGCAGTTCTTAAACCTTGGAAGTCTTAAACGTCACCAAGCTAAAGGTCACAACACTGCTATGCTCAGCATCTGATGTAATATTTTTTTAACAAACCGGATATATCCCACTGAGGCAGGGTGACCTGAAAAGAGAAACGAAATTTAAAAACGAAAGTTGTTCTTTTTAAATTTAGTAATTTATACAAGAGAAGGGGTTATAAGTCCCTTGCTCCCGACATTTTAGTCACCTCTTACGACACGCATGGCTTTCGGAGGAAGAATCCTGTTCGATTTCCCTGTGGAGAATCTGAAGCAATATATTCACTTTAAAATTATGGTGTAGCTTCAGCTACTCCCTCAAATGTACAGACAAATTCTAATCTATCACAAACTATTAAGGTTGATTCCATATTAATTTTTCATGATAAGTTTTTAAATTTATGATAAATAGGGGAAGTATTGTACAGTATAAAAAACAACTGGTTGTGTATCATTATTGTGATAATATAGATCATTTACAAAGAAATGACTTTGTAAATACAGTAACTACTGGTACTATAGAAAATATGATAGTGTCAGAAGCAGATAAGACTGTTAAGTGCAGCTACATGAATTGTTTTGCTAGTGTGTATGTTTGCCATATATAGATAGTAAGACAGGAGCTTATTCTTGAATTACTGCACTGTGCTAAGTTCCTACCTGTGTACATTAATATAACTACATTAGTGCTGCCTTCTGTATTAAACATTACTGAATGTTCAGCATTTTGTGTGTATGTAGATAAACCCTGAATACTGATGGTGGTTCTTCTAATTTCAGATTTTAGGTGAATTTACATACGAGAAAATTCCCTGTTCAATAGGCTCTCATTTTGTAACTGTATATCTGTGCACTTTTTCATTATTTTTAGTGTACTATACAGTACATTTCTAGTTAAAAACAACATTCAGTGATGGCTTTGCTAAAGGTTTACACAACCAAGCGCATTCATTTCACACATTTCTAAGTGCAAAACATCATCATCTCCCTCTATATCTGATATTTTCCTAGAATCAGTTAAACTTTCATGATATTCCAATTTCTTAAAGTCTAGCTATTGATCTACATATACACTTTCTCTTGTATACTTTCTTTAGTGTGGCCCGGTGGCCTGGTGGCCTGGTGGCCCGGTGGCCCGGTGGCTAAAGCTCCCCCTTCACACACGGAGGGCCCGGGTTCGATTCCCGGCAGGTGGAAACATTTCGACACGTTTCCTTACACCTGTTGTCCTGTTCACCTAGCAGGAAATAGGTACCTGGGTGTTAGTCGACTGGTGTGGGTCGCATCCTGGGGGACAAGATTAAGGACCCCAATGGAAATAAGTTAGACAGTCCTCGATGACGCACTGACTTTCTTGGGTTATCCTGGGTGGCTAACCCTCCGGGGTTAAAAATCCGAACGAAATTTTATCTTATCTTATCTTATCTAGTGTGTACTGTACTAGCCTAATTGTACTCACCTCAGTGCAGTTGCAGGGGTTGAGTCTCAACTCCTGGCCTTGCCTCCCTGCTGGCTTCTGTTTTTACTAGTGGCTGTGTGAGCCCTATCATACCTATCTTAAAGCTGTGTAAGGATTCTGCCTCTATCACTTTACTGTCTAGTCTGTTCCACTTAATGACTACTTTAAGGCTAAAGAAGTATTTCCTAACATCCCTGTGACTTTGTGTACCTGAGACCCGCCTCTCAAACAGACTCTTCCTGTACATACTGTCAAATCCTCTTGGGTATTTTGTATGTTGTAATCATGTCACCTTAGATACTTCTATCTTTTATTGTCTTAAGGTCTAACTCCTGTAGCCTATCCTCATGGCTCATACATTTCAGCTCTGGGACTAGTTTTGTTGCAGACTTTTGCACTTTTTCCAGCATTTTTACATGATTTACCAAATGCACATTCCATACTGACGCTGCATACTCCAAGATGGGCCTGACGTACATGTACTAACCTAGTACCATATGTGTGTGTGTGTGTGTGTACTCACCTAATTGTACTCGCCTAATTGTGGTTGCAGGGGTCGAGACTCAGCTCCTGGCCCCACCTCTTCACTGATCTCTACTAGGTCCTCTCTCTCTCTGCTTCCTGAGCTGTATAATACCTCTTCTTAAAACTATGTATGGTTCCTGCCTCCACTACTTCACTTGCTAGGCTATTCCACTTCCTGACAACTCTATGACTGAAGAAATACTTCCTAACGTCCCTGTGACTCGTCTGAGTCTTCAGCTTCCAGTTGTGACCCCTTGTCCCTGTGTCCCTCTCTGGAACATCCTATCTCTGTCCACCTTGTCTATTCCCACAGTAAACTTGTATGTCGTTATCATGTCTCCCCTGAACCTTCTGTCCTCCCGTGTCGTCAGTCCGATTTCCCCCAACCTTTCCTTGTATGACATTCCCTGAGCTCTGGGTACCTTGTTGCAAACCTTTGTACTTTCTCTAACTTCTTGAGTACTTGACCAGGTGTGGGTTCCAGACTGGTGCTGCATTTCTCCAGTATGGGCCCAACATACACAGTGTACAGTGTCTTGAAACGATTCCTTATTAAGGTATCGGAACGCTATTCTCAGGTTTGCCAGGCGCCTGTATGCTGCAGCAGTTAAATTTTGGTTGATGTGTGCCTCCGGTGATGTGCTCGGTGTTATGGTCACCCCAAGGTCTTTCTCCCTGAGTGAAAGGTCTGTAGTCTTTGTCCACCTAGCCTATACTCTGCTGCGGTCTTCTTTGCCCCTCCCCAAACTTTATGACTTTGCATTTGGCTGGATTGAATTCGAGAAACCAGTTACTTTACCACATGTCCAGCCTGTCCAGGTCTTTTGCAGTCCTGCCTCATCCTCATCCCATTTAATTCTTCTCATTTAAACTTCACATCATCTGCGAACAGGGACATTCAGAGTCTATTCCTTCCATCATGTCGTTCACATATATCAAAAATAGCACTAGTCCTCGAATGACCCCTGTGGGACCCGCTCGTCACAGGCGCCCACTGTGATACCTCTTCATGTCCCATGACTCGTTGCTGCCTCCCTGTCAGGTATTCCCTGACCCATTGCAGTGCCCTCCCTGTTACATGCGCCTGATCCCCCAGCTTCTGCACTAATCTTGTGGGGAACTGTGTCAAAGGCCTTCCTGAAAGTCTAGGAAAACGCAGTCTCCCAAAACCCTCTCTCTCGTGTCTTACTTCTGTTACCTTGTCATAAACTCCAGGGGGTTTTTGTGATACACGATTTGCCTTCCTGAACCCATGCTGGTTTTCATTTATAACCTTGTTCCTTTCCAGGTGTTCGACCACTCTCTCCTGATAATTTCTCCATGACTTTGCACACAATACATGTCAGAGACACAGGTCTGTAGTTTAGCACCTCGTTTCTGTTTCTTTCTTAAATATGGGGACTACATTAGCTGTCTTCCATTTCTCAGGTAGTTGCCCAGTTTCAAGGGATGTGTTGAAGATTGTGGTTAGAGGGACGCACAGCATCTCTGCTCCTTCTCTAAGGACCCATGGGGAGATGTCCGGTCCCCTCGCCTTTGGGGTATCAAGGTCACTTAGGAGCTTCTTCACCTCCTCCTCAGTTGTTCCGTATGTCATCCAACACTTGTTGGTATATTCCCTCTTGAGGTTCTCTTCTGTGCTGTCTTCCCACAGCCCCTTTCCCGTCTCTACTGTAAAAACTTCCTTAAATCTCCTGTTCAGCTCCTCACATACCTCCTTATCATTTCTTGTGAGTTTTTCCACCTTCTGTCCATAATTGATCACCTGGTCTTTGACTGGTTGTCTTCCCTGATGTGGCTATACAACAGTTTCGGGTCAGTCTTTATTCTCGATGCTATGTCATTTTCATACTGTCACTGGGCCTCCCTCCTTACCTGTGCATACTCATTCCCGGCTCTGTGACTGATCTCCTATTTTGTGTGTTCTCTGCCTTCTGTACTTTTTCCATTCTCTATTGCACTTTGTTTTTGCCTCCTTACACCGTCGGGTAAACCAGGGGCTCGTTCTGGTCTTCCCGTTGTTACTGTTGCCCTTGGGAATAAACCTTTCCACGCCTCCTTGCATTTTGTTGTTACATACTCCATCATTTCATTTACTGGCTTTCCTGCCCGTTCTCTGTCCCACTGGACCTCCCCCAGGAAGTTCTTTAACCCTATGTAGTCCCTCTTTTATAGTCGGGCTTTTCCCATTCAACTCCTGTTATTCTCTCCACTTGCAGCTCATATGTATTCAAAGCACAGAACCACGTGGTCGCTAGCTCCTAGGGGACTCTCATACTTGATGTCCTCAATATCTGAGCTACCCAGGGTGAACACAAGGTCCAATCTTGCTGGTTCATCCTTCCCTCTCACTCTGGTAGTGTCCTTAACATGTTGGTGCATGAGGTTTTCCAGCACCACGTCCAACAGCCTGTCTCTCCATGTTTCGGGACCCCCATGTGGCTCCAGGTTTTCCCAGTCAATCTCCCTGTGGTTGAAATCCCCCATAACCAGCAACTTTGCTCTGCTGGAGTGAGCTCTTCTTGCCACCTCAGCAAATGTGTCCACCATTGCTCTGTTGCTCTCTTCATATTCCTCTCTTGGCCTCCTGCAGTTCTATGGTGGATTATACATCACTGCAATGACCACTTTGTGTTCCCCAGACTGAAGTGTACCTACTATATAGTCTCTTTCTCCCGTCTCATCTATGCCTTCCATTTTCTCGAATTTCCATCTGTTTTTTTTACGAGCAGAGCAACCCCACCTCCCCCTCTGCCCCTTCTATCTTTCCTCATGATCTGGTATACTGGTGGGAAGATTGCATCTGTTATTGTTTCCGTGAGTTTTGTTTCTGTAACTGCTATGATGTCTGGGGACTTCTCATTGATTCTTTCTTGCCATTCCTCATGTTTATTCGTTAATCCATCTGCATTTGTGTACCAAACCTTCAGCTTCTGTTCTAATACTGTAACTGTGGTGCAGGGGGTGGGAACAGAGGGATCGGTGTGTGATGGTTGGTTTGGATTGTTCAGTTGCCTTGGGGGGTGTCGTGGCTGGAGTCTTCTGCAGGTGTTTCTTGGGGGGTGTGCTTGTCCTTCCATTTGATCCTGGGTTATTCTGCGCTCCTTTTTCTCCCATTTCTCCTTTCGTTTTTGAACTCTCTCTTTCATCGTCTTCCTTTCGTCCTGTGTTCTGTCTCGATCGAGGTACACACTCCAGAACTCCTGCTTGCCTCTCGGCCGTGCTTTCTCCTGCAGGATCATGGTTCTGGTTGATTCTGCCTTGAAAATTACTTTGAGAGGCCGATTCCTTTTCTTTGTGAACCACCCGATTCTCCGAAAATTTGCCACTTGGGTCATGTCCCCCTCGCCTATCACCTTCATGATGTCTTCAGTTGCTTCTTTCTCCTCCTGTGTGTGTGTGTGTGTGTACTCGCCTAATTGTACTCACCTAATTGTGGTTGCAGGGGTCGAGACTCAGCTCCTGGCCCTGCCTTCACTGATTGCTACTAGGTCCTCTCTCTCTCTGCTTCCTGAGCTTTATCGTACCTCTTCTTAAAACTATGTATGGTTCCTGCCTCCACTACTTCACTTGCTAGGCTATTCCACTTCCTGACAACTCTATGACTGAAGAAATCTTCCTAATGTCCTGTGACTTGTCTGAGTCTTCAGCTTCCAGTTGTGATTCCATTGTTCTGTGTCCCCTCCTCAGGAACATCCTTCTCTGTCCACCTGTCTATTCCCCACAGTATCTTGTATGTCGTTATCATGTCTCCCCTGACCCTTCTGTGTGTGTGTGTGTGTGGTTCGTGTGTGCGTGTGTGTGCGCGTGCGTGTGTGCGTGTGTGTGTACTCACCTAATTGTACTCACCTAATTGTGGTTGCAGGGGTCGAGACTCAGCTCCTTGCCCCGCCTCTTCATTGATCGCTACTGGGTCCTCTCCCTCTCTGCTTCCTGAGCTTTGTCATACCTCTTCTTAAAACTATGTATGGTTCCTGCCGTGTGTGTGTGTGTGTGTGTGTGTCTTTGTGTGTACACTCACCTAATTGTGGTTGCAGGGGTCGAGACTCAGCTCCTGGCCCCACCTCTTCACTTACCGCTACTAGGTCCTTCTCTCTCTCTCTCTCTCTCTCTCTCTCTCGCTCTCTGCTTCCTGAGCTTTGTCATACCTCGTCTTAAAGCTATGTATGGTTCCTGCCTCAACTACATCACTTGCTAAGCTATTCCACTTCCTGACAACTCTATGACTGAAGCAATACTTCCTAACATCCTTGTGACTCGCCTGAGTCTTCAGCTTCCAATTGTGACCCCTTGTTACTGTGTCCTCTCTCTGGAACATCCTATCTCTGTCATTCCCGCGCATGTATGAATACACACATTTGTGTCACATCGACTATGCAATACAAAGTCTTGTCTACTTACTACAAAACATTCCGAAAGCTTTACATTTTATTAGTTAATAAATGCATTGTATTCGTATAGTAAAGTATAATTGCACTATTAGCTTTATTATATACTGTAGTTTTACAAGTGTGTAAATATTTTAGTAAATAAAGTTGCTATACAGTATGTTAAGAGGTTTGTTATCACTCCCTGGTTAATGCAATATTTGCCTCAGATAGGAAGTATTAATATTGTTGACACTTCTGCAGTAATGTTTTTTTTTTTTTTCAACAAACCGGCCGTATCCCACCGAGGCAGGGTGGCCCAAAAAGAAAAACAAAAGTTTCTCTTTTCAAATTTAGTAATTTATACAGAAGGGGTTACTAGCCCCTTGTTCCCGGCATTTTAGTCGCCTCTTACAACACGCATGGCTTCCGGAGGAAGAATTCTGTTCCACTTCCCCATGGAGGTAAGAGGAAATAAACAAGAACAAGAACTAGAAAGAAAATAGCAGAAAACCCAGAGGGGTGTGTATATATATGCTTGTACATGTATGTGTAGTGTGACCTAAGTGTAAGTAGAAGTAGCAAGACGTACCTGAAATCTTGCATGTTTATGAGACAGAAAAAAGGACACCAGCAATCCTACCATCATGTAAAACAATTACAGGATTTCGTTTTACACTCACTTGGCAGGACAGTAGTACCTCCCTGGGTGGTTGCTGCTCCAACTACTACCACGGACGTAGTACCTCCCTGGGTGGTTGCTGTCTACAAACCTACTACCCAGACGGTAGTACCTCCCTGGGTGGTTGTTGTCTACCAACCTACTACCACAGACGGTAGTAACCTCCCTGGGTGGTTGCTGTCTACCAACCTACTACCACAGGACGGTAGTACCT